ATACCATACCCGTTACCATACCATACCATACCATACCATACCATACCATACCATACCATACCATACCATACCATACCATACCCGTTACCAGAGATTGTCATTCCGTTCACGGGTTTCTCAGTGTATTGGATACAGTAGGAGAGGCAATTGTTGATGAAAATACCCAGTCTGAATTTTAGAGAGTAAGTAGGTTAGAAAAACAGAACAGACAAGACAGAAAAGAAATGGAGGCCAGGCAAGATGTCTCAGAAGGGAGACGTGAGTTTGATCCCTGGGGTGCCTATGAAGGAAGGAGAACCAACTCCCATAACCTAATCACTGACTTCCACACACCCAGCAGCAGCTGCTGCTTGTACCCACCCATGCACACACGCACATACACACACAAATATAATTAAAAATAAAACTTAAAGGTCCAATCAGATCACAGTTGCTGAAGAATAAGAGTGATTAGGAAGAATGTGTGGCTGGAATGTCTCACCGAAAGCAGAGAACTTTCTCCCAAACTACTAAAGATAAAAAGCTGAAGACCAGATGAACATTACAAACTCATAGTTCAAAAAGAAACCATCTATCCAACCAACCTAGGTTTTTTGTACAGACTTCTGAAAGAGAATGCTTTAAAATGTAGGCATTTTCAAAGACACCGCAGAAACATTGCCTCACGGCTGATTTGCTTTAAAAAAAAAAAAAAATGAGAGGATGAGGCCACCGAAGTCAGTCTCCAAAGAGAACAGCGGGACCAAGCCTGCAGGCCAAATGGGCAGTGGTCCTGACACCACCTTACTTACAGTCTGACAGCTTACAGTCAATCGTAAGTTGTGTGCATTGGTTTTGCTTTGCTGGAGTAACAAGTTGCCACCAACTTCACGGCTTAAAATAAGCAAAATAGCACCTATTTTTTTAAAAAAACAGTTTACTATACATTTTGTGCGAGAGAGAAAGGGGAGGGGGAGAGCATGCACAGAGAGACTAAAGAACAGCCTGTGGCATTCCATTTTCTCCGTCCACCGCACGGATTCCAAAGATCAAGCCCGGTATTCAGGCTTGGCCACAGGTGCCTTTTCCTTCTGAGCCATCTTGCCGGCCCTTACCACAGTTCTGAAGGTCATAAGCCTGGGTTGGTTTGCCTGAGTTTTCCAAGCATCTGAGCTCTAACCTGAGGCTCTGGTCGAGAACCTGGTATCGAGCTCTTCCGGGTTGTTGCCAATGCGGCTCCTCTGGCTTCCGGATGGAGGAGCCCACTTCCTGGCTGAGCGTCATCATGGAATCTTCTCGGTGTTAATGCGTGGGCCCCAGTACCACCTCCAGCAGCCGATCCCCGAATTTAAGGATTCATTGGATTAGAGGCCTATTGGATAACCTAGGATTCTCTCTCTCTCTCTCTCTCTCTCTCTCTCTCTCTCTCTCTCTCTCTCAAAATCTACAGCTTTCATTGAAGCTGCAAAACCTTTTCCATCTTTCTTTAGCATATTCGCAAGCCCCAGGAGTGACGGCTACCTCTGCAGCTAACACAGCACTGAAGAAAGAAAATGAGAGAATTTTTTTTTTTAATTAAACACTATACAGCAGCGTAAACTGAAGTTGTTTTCATGAGCACGGGGAGGAAGCCCATCCGTAAAGCAGATAGAACCTCTCAGGATTCAGACACTTGCTGCTTGACAGAAGAGAATTAGAAACTAGCAGGCCCTGGGCTATAAACCTCAGGACCTACTCACAGTAACCCACTTCCTCCTCCAAACAGCGCCATCAGCTGGAGACCGAGTGTCTAACCCACGGGACATTTTATAGTCAAACCATAACATATACCCAAAGAGATGAGTCACAGCCTCCACTTTCGGGACGTATGTACATACATTAAACATTAAGCTATGGATGAATTATGAAAATGCAAAAAGCAGCCAAGTGTTCAAGAGTGAGTGAATCGGTATGAACTGGCAATTTACCTCAAGGGAACCCATGTGACCAAGTCAAGGGAAAAACAAAAGGAAACTTCAACATTTTGTACTCATGATGCTGAAAACATTAATTCATCCCAAAATGAAAGGTTGACAAGGATGTGGGCAATGGGGGCGGGTGCAGCTTGGGCGTTGGTCCTAGGAGAGGTACAACAACATGGATTATGCTCTCATGAGGGAATCTTTATGGCCGCAGTTCAAGCCTGAGGTAGGAGTGTCAAAAGGGAATTTGAGAGCATTTAAGAAACTAAACAGAGCTCGTCACCATGCTGCGGAGTTGCTTTAGTCTCAGAAGGAAGTTGCAAAGAAGAGGAACGCGGTGATGGCAGATTGGAACTGTGCAAAGATTGTTCTGGAAGCTACATGAAGAGCGTTCGGAGGAGGCAAAACCGGAGAAGCCTGCTGTGGTGCTGTCACAGCGTCACACAGATGAGGGCCTGAGGACAGCAGCCACGCAGACCGAAGGACAGACAGACGTGAAGGATGCTGGAAGAATTCATCATCGAAAGTCACGAGGTGAAGAGGGAAAGGACGCCATGCCAGTTTTGGGCAGTGATGCAAGTCGGTTCACGCTGGTCAGATGAGGTCAGAGGCACCGCTGGGGACTTGTGGAGAGAGTTGTTCCATGTTTACACATACTGAGGCCGTGTAAAAGTTGCTCTGCAGTCACCTGCAGTCCCAGAGCTTAGAAGGCGAAGACAGGAGACCTCCCATGCAAGGTTAGCCAGACTCTCTAGAAGAGCAAGCTCTGGGTTCAGCAGGAGCGCCCACCTCAAACAAGAGGAAAACTGCCAACACGAATCTCAGGCCTCCACACGCACGCTCATGAGCACAAGCAAATACACATGCCTCCCACACGTATGAATGTGCAAACTCATATGCATGCACACCCTCTACATATATGTTTACAAAGAAATTACCTTTGTTTTCCATAACATTTTTTAAATTCGGCATTATAGATAAGAAATTGTGGGGAAATAGACAGAGCAATGTGACCATGTTCTTGTCAAGTGCTTGGTATGTAAGACTTGTGGACTACTGTGGCCAGCCAAGACTTGTGAACTATTATAAACAACCAAGAAACACTGACACTGTGCATAGCTCGCCACAGTTATGTCCTGACCTTCAGCTGTGTTGCAAGTGACACTGAAATATGCAGATGTGTAAATGACATAGGCCCTGCAACATACTACGTTCTCAATAAAAGTTAGAAGCAAAAAAAAAAAAAAAAGAACTATCATATGTGTGCATAATATCACGTTCAGAATTATTTTTAACTCACAGTGACTGTTCATCCTCGTGGTCACTTTATCAGAAAAGAACTATGCGATTTAACTTTCGATGACAATACTTTGACTTAACTTTTATGCAGACGGGTGTGTGCCTGCCCATGAGACTATGTATCATGTGCATGTGGTACTCATGGAGGCCAGGAGAGGGCGCCAGATCCCCTGGAACTTATTAGAGGTTGTAAGCTGTCTCGTGGATTCTGCAAAGGAAACCCAGCCCCTCTGCAAGGGCAGCAAGTGCTCTTATCCAGCAAGCCTCCTCTCCAGCCCTTTGCTTTCCTTTTTGTGTATGATGTCATGTCTTCTGTCCAGAGCTAAAAATAGAGAAAAATCATAGCCACGTTTTCCATGATCAGAACCAATCAGGCCAAGCCATTTTCCTTAGGTTGCAAAATACACAAGTTGGGGGGGCCATGGCGAAGGCTCGGAGGTTAAAAGCACTGGCTGCTCTTCTAGACGGCCCAGCTTAGCTCCCACGCACCTCACTACTGTCTGCTATTCTGGTTTCTGGTCACCCAGTGTTTACTTCTGAGCTCTGTGAATACTGTATGCATATAGTTCACAGACATGCACGCAGGCAGAACATCTGTGCACATAAAATAAGAACAAATCATTAAAAATTCCTCAGGCCCTCTGTAGAGTCTTGCCTAAGAGAGTCCATAGCTTGGCTGTTCATTACTCAGGCTTGGTTAGCTGGTTGGTTGGTTGGTCTCTTGAGAAGCCTCAGCTGGAACAAGCTGCATAGACTCAACTGACCTTCACTCTGTGGCTTTCCTGTCTCCGTGTTCTGAGCGCGGAGATGACCAGCATGCACCACGTTACTGGGTTCTCACTGTGGGCCAGAGACGGTTCCGTTCATCCCCACCTTGTCTTCATTTCTTATTTTCTAGTTCTCTCGGAGACATTAAAGTAGCCGAGGTAAACGTCAAGGGCTTCTTTGTGAGGCTTGTTAACTCCTCCAATGAGAAGGAAGTGGCGATTGGAAACCACATCCTCCAACAAAACGTGAACGGACACGCCGTCTCCTTGTACCGGTTCCCCAGCAACATCACACTGCAGGCCAGCTCCACGGTGACAGTAAGTATGATCTGAAACCATCATATTCTCAGAGTGACATGAACATGCTTCAGCCGGGAAGACTGTGCATGGGAAACACTGTGAGCTGGGAACACAGTAACCAAGGATACAATGATGTGTGACTAGTGTGAGATAGGGGTATCATGATGACATACAGTGACCTGGGAACGCCATGAGCTGGAAGTAATATAGACTGGGAATACAGGGGCTGCAAATACCAGAGGCTGGAAATACCAGGAGCTGAGAATACCAGGAACCAGGAATACCAGGGGCTGGGAATACCGGGGGCTGAGAACACCAGGGACCAGGAATACCAGCAGCTGGGAATACCGGGGGACCAGGAATACCTTGACATGGAAATACCATGTGTTGAAGATACACTGAATTGGAAATATCCTGATGTAGAAATGACAGGAGCTGAGAACCGTATGAGTCGGGAATCTCATGATCTGGGAAAACTGTGAGCTAGGACTGCCAGGGTCTGAGTTATGAATACCATGAGCCAAAAGTACAGTAAGTTGAGAGCACCACGAGCTGGAAATGCCAAGATTTGGCCAGGATTTAAGAATATGGTAAGCTGGGAATACTGCGCGCTGGGAAAACCAGGAGCTGGAATCACACGGGTTAAACTCGAGCTGGCAATATGGTGGGCTTGGAATGATCTGGGTATACTGTGAGCAGAAAATATAATGACTTGGGGGACAAATAATCCGGACTATGGCATGAGTTGGGAACACCATGAGCTGGGAATATTGGGAATACTATCAGCCGGGAATATCAGGATCTAGGGAGAACTGTAAGCTAGGACTGTAGGACTGCCTTGAACTGAATGAACACCATAAGCAGGGAATATCACGAGGCAATGTGGTGAGTTGGGAATAGCAGGAGCTAGGAACACTGGGAGCTGGGAACACTGGGAGCTGGGAACACTGGGAGCTGGGAACACTGAGCTGGGAACACTGAGCTGGGAACACTGGGAGCTGGGAACACTGGGAGCTGGGAACACTGAGAGCTGGGATCACTGGGAGCTGGGAACACTGAACTGGAAACACTGAGCTGGGAACACTGGGAGCTGGGAACACTGGGAGCTGGGAACACTGGGAGCTGGGAACACTGGGAGCTGGGAACACTGAGCTGGAAACACTGAGCTGGAACACTGGGAGCTGAGAACACTGAGCTGGGAACACTGAGCGCTGGGAACACTGGGAGCTGGGAACACTGAGCTGGGAACACTGGAAGCCGGGAATACTGTGAGTTGGAAACACTGGGAGCCAGGAATACTGGGAGCTAGGAACAGTGGGAGCTGGGAACACTGAGAGCTGGGGACAGTGTCAGAGCTGGGAACACTGGGAGCTGGGGACACTGAGCTGGGAACAATGTCAGAGCTGGGTCCCTATAGGGAAAGCTTCCTCTACCATCACCCTGTGGTTTGGCACAAGTGGCCTCGTGGATACTTATTCTTTGTATTAAATGTGATTTTGTGGTTTGCAGTACCGTGGATTGGAGCCTGTACTTGGCTCGCCACAGCTTTCTTCCATGTAGTAAGCAATCTTATTCTGGCTTGTCCTCCAAAGAGAAAGTCCTAAGTCTGAAAACAGATTCTTAAGAGACAAGCAAAGAGACGGTCATCTCAGAGAGCAGGCACTAAGGAGGTCTCCTGCCACCCCCGTCCTGTGTCCCTCTGAACCTCGGTGTCTGGCCTGTAACAATAAGTTGTAAGAGTGTGTGTGTGTGTGTGTGTGTGTGTGTGTGTGTGTGTGTTTACATGACACTGAGATGCAACCTCTCTCTACAAGTTCACTTTTGCAAACCACAAAATCAAGATACAAAAACGAACAAGCAAAACAAAACAAAAAACCTCAAAGATACGCCCTAACGTTCTAAATAATCTTACAGTATGCGGTTGGTCTGCATTTGTGTCTATCTATCCTGGATCCACTTGTAATCCACAGGCCATGGGCTAGATGGTTGTTTAAGCCGTGTTTAGTCACTGTTAGCATTACATTATATTTTAGAACAACCTAGAAGCTCAGATGCCTTTATAGTTCCAGGTCCTCAGGAGGCTGAGGTACAAGAATTGTGTGAGCCTAGGCGTTCCGACCAAACCCAGGCAAATGCCTTCCCATCTTTAATGACACCGAAAACTCAATCTGTTCAGAAAGATTAGTAACAATAGCACCATCGCATGTGGATCTATGTGGAACCCCAGTAGCATTTGTCAGCAACAAACTGCTTTCTCTAAGGTGTGGGCAGCAGCATCAGAAGCAAAGCCACAGCCACCAACGGACTTTGTTTGGGAGGAACAGAGCAGGTTCCGGTCCAGTCCGGACTGCACGACCATCTTGTGCAACCCCAGTGGTGAGGTGAGTGCCAACACGCGATGATGGGGCCACAGGTCCCTTTGGCCCTCGGTCCTGCTCAGATTCTGCACTGCATAGCTAGAGTCACCCCCAAATGCAGCAGCATCCTCTCTTCCGGTGTGCGCCCAACGCCCAAGGGCGGTCATGGTGTCCCGAGTTTCTGTCTCCCATCCCTCCCCAGGGTGCCCCCTGCTGGCCAGCTGGAGTTGTGGCGCCCTGAGCTTCTGAAGGCTGCGGCAGATTCAGAGTCGCGGGTGGGTTTTATTTTCGATTTAGTCTGGAAGTGCGGGAAAATGAAGGTAGTGTACACAGCCATCTCTGCTCAGCTATTCATCCCAACAATGTTTCTCGAGATTCTTGCCTATGCTCTAGGCCGAACTATGCACAAGGGATGTAACACGGAAATTTGATCTCGGCGCCTACAGGGTGCCGAAGCTAATGGAACGGCTTATACTCTTAATTTGAAACGACTATCTTCTATACGGAAAAAAATGCGTTAGTTAGAAACAGTTTTCTTTAGACTTTTTTTTTTTAATTCTTGTCTTTAATTCTTACCCGTAGACAAATTTGCTAGGCCGCAGAACCGTTGACCCTGCCCCTATAATACATACAGCTTGAGATAGCCCACAGACCGGCACTGGTGAGCTCAGCTAGGAAGCACTGGGCAGCCTTGACAACCTCACAAATAACACCGTTTAAATGCAGACCAGTGCCCAAAGCACAAGAGGACACTCCAGATTCAAACCACGACATCTACTGGAGACTACCTCCTCTTCAGAGTGAATCTCTACGTTCATGCCGCACCTTTGGGTTACATCCCGTTGGGAAAACCCAACTGTGATAAAGCAGTAAGCTTCTTCAGCTAGAAAAATACACCCTTAATAAGAAGGCCAGGGAGAGCCTATGTTCACCTGAGACCCTAATAAAAACATACAGTTCTTTAAAACAAGAAACACACACACACACACACACACACCATTCTTACCTCAGTGAGGCTAATCCTTCCCCTGCAATTTCAAGAAAGGTTTTCCTGGAAAACCCCATTCCTGCTCGTTTGCTGAATAAAGCAGACAGCTTTACCAGAACCCAGGAACCGCTCTCCAGCTTTGCCACAGACCAGTCGAGGACAGTCTGCGTCTTATGGAGAAGTCTCAGAGCCATCCCTCCCCTCCACCTGGCACAGCCACACAGACCAGCAAAGGTCTCTCTCTGGTTCTCTGTAACACTTGCTTTATGACAGACCACAGGCAGATGACATTATGGATTCTTTTCACAGACAAACCTAAAGTGTGACTTAGGCCATACTTTGAACCACCTTATCCTAAGTATGACAATAGCCAATGGCCAATACAGCCACAGATGCTGAGGAGTGTGATGAGGGGGGTTTGCATTTCTTCTGCCTGCAGCCTTGTAGGCAGCCGTCATTCTGATTGCTCCCTGAAGATATGACTCTGTCCTGTCCTCACTAATACACTGTGAGTCTGGGTTTTCAAAACAGGGCAGGATGCTCTCAGTCAGTCACGCTGGAGTCACAGCTTACCCTCCCTCGGTGTCTGGGACTTTGTCAGGCCCTTGTTTTGTATTTAAGATCCAGGTATGGAGCAGTTCTCTCCTGCACCATGGGAGCTCATGGAAGGGCAGGTTAGAGAAGTCACAACAGATTTGACATGTGATCCAGAAGTCTTTCTCGACGTGGGTATATGCCTAGAGAAGACCCCATAGCGTAAATATGTCTAGAGAGTGAATGGGCTAAAAGCACTTAAATGGCATTGTGTCTGAGATTTTCTTTCTTTTTTTTTTTCTTTTTTTCTTTTTTGTTTTTTTGTTTTGTTTTGTTGGGTTTTTTGTTTGTTTGTTTTTTCGAGACAGGGTTTCTCTGTGTAGCCCTGGCTGTCCTGGAACTCACTCTGTAGACCAGGCTGGCCTCGAATTCAGAAATCTGCCTGCCTCTGCCTCCCAAGTGCTGGGATTAAAGGCGTGCACCACCACCGCCTGGCGTGTCTTGAGATTTTCAAAAGTAAATTTCACTTGTGCTTGTCACAGATCTGTGATGTGTGTGTGTGTGTGTATTATAGTTTTATACATAAATACATAAATGTTTATTAATTCTATAATTAGTGTTGGAAACTTTAAAGCACAATAGAATTTATTTTAAAAATAAATTCTAAGTAAGCTGGAAAGGCTCACTCCTTTAATTCCAACATTCTGGAAGCTGAAGCAGGAGGTTCACCATGATTTCTAGAACAACCCAGGCAGCATAGCAAGCTCCAGACCAACCTGGGCTGTAGAGTGAGAGCCTATCCCAAACAAATGCGTGATACCAAAACCAAATAGCACTGCAATAGGCTATAGCCGCAAATACATACATCTCCCACAGTATTTGAAATGGAGAACTCTCTTCATTCGTGTTAGGCCATTGCCTGGTACACTCCTATCCACTGGAAGCAAGCCTGGGAGAAGCTAGAGACTGACATTGAATTTGAAAGGTGCTCAGTGGTGATTCCGTCGATGAGAAGCCACATGTTTGGGTGGACAACAGTATCTTCACCTCCCATAAGTAAGGAAAAACAAGAACCAGCACAGAAAACGCCCTCCCAAGTCTGCCCTGTTCTCGTGAGGTAAAGAGTGTTTTGCTTTGCCTATGTATTCAGTCTTTCTCCCAACAGTAACTGAATGTGTGGGAAGGACTGGCGGGGAAGGGCAGATGGACCGTCCATCCATCAATTAGCCATGGTTAATTAGCCACTGCTCTTTAATTAAATGCGGTGACACAATGAATGCTCTGCCTCCAAGGTCTAGAAAAGGCATTCTGTTTATTTATTTAATGCTTTTATGATTCATTTTTATGTGCGTGGGTATTTTGTCTGCACCTATGTCTGTGTACCATGTGCATGCAGTACCCACAGGGGCCAGAAGAGGGCATCTGGGAACTGGCGTTGCGGGTGGTTAAAAGCCACCATGCTGGAAGCTGAAGCTCTTCTGGAAGACCAGCCAATGCTGGTAACTGATGAGCCAACTCTCCAGCCCACTTTTGTTTTTTTAAGTAGGCTTTCTCTTTAGTTGCTACTGCATAAATTTCCTTTAAAGTTCAAGCTGGTCTTTCTCTTGTTATAGAGAAAAGGAAATCCCGCCAACCGTTTTACCCAATAAGAGTCCTTGGTGCCGAAACCCCAACACCTCTCCACATCCGTACAGTTCTCTGATTGACTCATGTGACTCAGACATTTCTGAAAGCAGTTCAGGTACACAGCTCAAGCCTCAGTCAACCAAACCCAAACCAGACCCAGGTAAGCCAAAAGTACACGTGTTATGTGAGGGGGTGGGGTGGGGGTGGGGGTGTTCTGTGTGAGGGCGGGGCAGAGGGCGTTCTGTGTGCTGAGTGTTAAAAACTATTCAGACCTATGTGCCAGACTGTGTCAGCCTCTGTCTCTGTAACAAATTCCTGAGAGAAACAGTTCAAAGAAATATATTTATTTTGGTTCACAGAAGGCTGGGTAGACCCAGGTGGTTTTACTCGAGTTTTACCATGACAGAGGGATCGTGGAGAAAAATCTGTTCTCCTCCTGGTGACCAGGAAACAGAAAAAGGGAGCAATTCTCCTGCCTCAGCCTCCTGTTATAGTTCTTGAGGGCTGGTGAAAAATACATCCTGCTTTTTAAAAACTGGTCCTACGTGTCAGGCGGTGACAAAAAACTACCCACCATTCCCCAGCACACCCCAACAGTGAGCCCAAGTTGTTTTTCTCGTTCAGCCAGGCGTCCTGTCCTAAACAGAACTGTCAGAGATGTTTGGGGGGTTGTTATGATTTGATTTGTGTTGTGTGTAGTTTTTGCTACCCCTACTTTAAACTCCGGGTGGACCATGCTACCAGCATGCCCAGAGAATACTGGATCCATGGATGAAAAACACAGACATTCACGTAGCTCAGTTTCAACCTGCCTTATTGGCTCATTGGCTGGGCTCTTCCTTCATTGGCTGTCTTGCTTCCTTCTTTTCACTCCCAGCTCAGCATCGTAAATCTGCCCTCATCGTAATCACACTTCTAATATCCCACCTGCTACTCCAGGCCCAGTCCGGGAAGCGGCCAATGGCCACTCTGCCCGAGATCTCACAGGGCTGATGGCTCCTCCCCCACAAAGCATGGCAAATGCCCTTTTCCTCTCCTGCACCTCTTCATTTGCCTGCAGGGACCCAGGAGTCCCACCTCTTCCCTTCCGTCCAGCAATTGGCCCCTGGCATCTTTATTGATCCATCAAGAACCAATTGGGGCTGGGCGGTGGTGGCGCACGCCTTTAATCCCAGCACTTGGGAGGCAGAGGCAGGTGGATTTCTGAGTTCGAGGCCAGCCTGGTCTACAGAGTGAGTTCCAGGACAGCCAGAGCTACACAGAGAAACCCTGTCTCGAAAAACCAAAAAAAAAAAAAAAAAGAACCAATTGGGGAACAGGACCTCAGCATTAGAACCACCCCATACAAATTTGATTTCAGAGTCATGGCCTCCTAGATGTCCCAGAACGGCTTTAAACTCTTGAGCCTCTGCCTTGGCCTCCTGAGTGCTGGGATTATAGGTGTGCAACCCTGTGCACTGTTGTCTGTAACTCTGGTTCCAGTGGGCTTGCTGCCCTCTTCTGTCCTGCAAAAACGCCAGGCATGCATGTGGTACACACACTGAAAAAAAAATTCATACATGTAAAGTAAAATAGTAATAGTAAGATTTAACCACTTACCTCCTGGAAATGTTAAGAGAAAACGATAGTGATCTCAACTGATATAAAATACGTACCTTATAAAATGTAATACCTATCCATGAGAGGAAAACCCTTAAACATTAGAACTAAAAGGAGTTTCTTCAGTCTGACAAACGACTATTTGTATCCTAAAATCCTAAGGTGTGCTCCTCCAGCTGCAGAGCGAGCGTGACTCTCATGATGTGCCTTGTGTTTAGCGTTACACCAGAGCCCAAGTATAAAGAGACAAGGAAAACGGAAATTCTTGCATCCTGTTCCCCCATAACTCCATAATTCCTTTCTTAGTAACTATACACGCTGAAGGGCATGTCTGTTTTGCCATGACATATGGGAGCTGGATTGACTTATAATACTCCCACACTGGAGGCGTCCAGTTTATCACCCATCAAATAGATGATTAAATTTTGACATCAGGAACAACACCGAATGAAGCACGCAATGGCATTAATAAACACTGTCAGCATCCTATCGAGCCAAACGGTCCAGACAAAAAAATTATATAACACCATGCATATAAAATTCAAAAACTTAACCATGGTGTCAGAAATTGGAAGAGTCATTTGTGACTGAAAAAAGAGGCACTTGTGGAATAAGGAGTGTACTGGTTGGTTTTGTGTGTCAACTTGACACAAGCTGAAATTATCACAGAGAAAGGAGCCTCCCTTAAGGAAATGCCTCCATGAGATCCAGCTGTAAGGCATTTTCTCAGTTAGTGATCAAGGAGGCAGGGCCATCCCTGGGCTGATAGCCCTGGGTTCTATAAGAAAGCAAGCTGAGCAAGCCAGGGGAAGTAAGCACTCCTCCATCACCCCTGCATCAGCTCCTGCCTCCAAGTTCCTGCCCTGTGTGAGTTCCTGTCCTGACTTCCTTTGGTGATGAACAGCAGTGTGGAAGTATAAACTAAACAAACCCTTTCCTCCCCAATTTGCTTCTTGGTCCTGATGTTTTGTGCAGGAATACAAACCCTGACTAAGACAAGGAGAGGTTCCATTTCCTGACCTGAGTGGTGTTTGCATGTGTCTGTTAGTTGTTCTCACGAGTGCAGTCATGATTCATGAACTTCCCTGTACCTACTGATACTTAAATTTATTTATTTTTAATGTGATGACAAGAACTGGGCCGATAGCTCCGTCAGTAAAATGCTTTTCTTGCAGGCACAAGGACCTGAGTGCAGTCCCCCCAAACCCCACTTCATAAAGCCTGGCATACAGTGACAATGTTTACAGTTCCAGCTGCAGACATGGAGACAGATGGAACTCTGTCTGGGGCTCATGATTCAGCTGCTCAGTCAACCTGTAAGCACCAGGACTATGAGACATCTGGTTTAAAAAAAAAGTGTATGAGGATGTCACCTGAGGCTGACCGTGGCCTACACATGCACCATGTGAGTTCATGGTTACACACACACACACACATATACGTGGACAAAAATGCACACACACAAGCACCAAGTGAGTGCATGCATACACACACAAATACACATCCACAAACACACATACATGTGCACCATGTAAGTGCATACATGCACACACATGCATGCACAGACACACACACACTTTTGTAAGTTGATGACAAAGAAGGAATGGCAGGAATGCAGAAAGAATACATAAGTGCACGTGACCTCAGCGAACATTACTGATGTGACACTTACTTAATAGAAAAGTGGCCTTACAAATAAGTCAAAGCCGACCACTCCACTATGATGTGATGATTGATAATAACAACAACAACAACAACAATAATAATAATAATAATAATAATAATAATAAAATAGTTTGTAGCTCAGTGATTTCCAGGCATCCCTCATGGGTGATGTAAAACATTGTTCCTTTGAGATACAAGACCCAGAGCTCCAGAGAAACCCAGACACCAGGCTTTGAAGGATAAGACTGGTTTTCACCTCAGCTACAGCTAGCAGAACCACGTGACACGCAGCATTCTGAACAACAGAATAAGAACTGAAATTCTAGACACAACATTCCCTTGAGGTCCTCGGATTAGAAGCTTGCCTGCGTCTTCTCTGCGGCATGGTAGCACAGGCAGAGCTGGCTCAGATGAAGCCCTGTGCTGGGGTAGAAGAGTCACCTCGTAGCTGCACACCTTGAGGGTTGTTAGCCAAGACACTGAGAGTCTTGTTTAAGCCGTCATTAGGGTCGGATTGTAGCGTCTGGGCCAGGTGACACGCAAAGCTGGAGCCACTTTGCATTTAGTTTCAGACAATGGGTTCCTGGTAAAAAGAAGACAAGGTTCACAGATAACTGACATTATTAAGACAGATACAGGGCCAGAGAGATAGTTGAGTTCTAAGAGCACACACACACATCTTTTAAGAGGCAGACAATTTGAACATAGGACATGAGTTGTAGGTGGTAAGCATTGTCCTCTTCCTATATGTGTTAGTTGCCTGGATTGTTCTTAGGGGAATAATACGGAAATCTTTCTGTGCTCGCCAACAGTTCAGTGACGGAGCCACAGACATGACGCAAAGGTGGTGAAGAGTTGAGTGTAGGTGGTGAGGGACAAGTGTGGCAGGTGTGCTCGTGACCTTCTTCACAGATGTGGCGGGTGTGCTCGTGACCTTCCTCACAGGTGTGGCAGGTGTGCTCGTGGCCTTCCTCACAGATGTGGCAGTTGTGCTTGTGACCTTCCTCACAGGTGTGGCAGGTGTGCTCGTGACCTGCCTCACAGGTGTGCCAGGTGTGCTCGTG